AAGTGATCCTCTTGCCTTAGCCTCCCAAGTAGCTGGGATTACAGGCGCTCAGGCCGGTCTCAAACTCATGAGCTCAAGCAATGCATCTGCCTCAGCCTCCCAGAGTGCTAGCATTACAAGCATGAGCCACGACAGCCAGCCAGCCAGCCAAATAAAAGCATTCTTAAAGCTCGACTGACAAGAGGAGTGGGGTGGAGTTTCATCAATAGCACTAAAAACCTTGAGTACGTCTTTTTAACTGCCATCAACAACTGTAGATCTGTATCAAAGCACTTAAACTGCCTTAATAATAAATGTGACATTAAGAGTAAACACCATTTAATTGATGGCAATGAACCAATGAACTGAAACTATCATTAAAAACCTGAGGCAAGATTATAAAGGTTTTCTGTTTTATATATAGAAAATCAAAAACAGCTCCAAATGTCTGACTGGTATGTAAGTTATACTATACTGCCTGTTTTTTATGACTTTTTTCTTCTGCAAAGACTCACATACTCTGGTTGGCACTTTGTCAGGTCGTTTCAGGTCTTACATGATAATGAAGTATCATGGGTTCTTATAATGCATTTTATCTCCTACAGTCTAATTATTCACTTGCATAACTGCTAAAAGAAACTAGTGCTTGAGCACCAATTTACACTTTGCTTTAATAGAACATTTAACAGCAAGCAGTTCTAATGACACATAAACATAACCACCAATCAAGTTTGAGAGTGGCAAAGCCATTAAACTATGTACTCACAAAACATGACGAAATTTAGGGAATGACTGACATCATTAAAATCTTTCTCTGGGTTTTAAAAAATGGTCCTTTACTTATTTGCCAGTCATCTATTAACACAAAGAAATGACTTCCATGGGGTGAGGCGACACCGAGGTCCACTGTGGCACACGCTGCCACTGTGCGTAACAGCCACAGTGAACAGGCTGCTCCTTAGAAGCCAGATCTCTCTGGGCTGTGACATGGAGAGGGAGGGGCTTACTTTGAAGAAGGCCTCCATGAGCATCTGGTCAGGCTGCAGGTCCTTCCACTGGAGTTTCCGGTATGCACTATGGAAAGTGTACAGAATGAACTCTGGCATTTTGGGTGCGGTACATGCTTCACAATAATGCATCAGGTGTAACCGAAGGGCTCCATCACCTGGCAACAGCCTATCTAAAATTTAAAAAGAAAGCACAGCTGAAGACCTTTGGTTTGTCTTAAAAATGGGAAAACTAATACAAAACACAAATTTGAACTAAAAGTCTAAAATTTAAGGTTCTTGGCCAGGCGCTGTGGGGCTATAATCCTAGCACTCTGGGAGGCTGAGGCAGGTGGTTTGCTTAAGCAAACATGTTTGAGACCAGCCTGAGCAAGAGCAAGATCCTTCTCTATTTCTCTAAAAAGAAAAATAGCCAGGCGTTGGGGAAGGTGCCTGTAGTCCCAGCTACTCCAGAGGTTAAGGCAAGAGAATGGCTTGAGCCGAAGAGTTTGAGGTTGCTATGAGCTATAATACCACAGCAATCTACCAAGGGTGACAAAATGACACTCTGTCTCAAAAAATAAAACCTAAGGTTTTTACTTTTTACTTACCTATTTCCAAGATTTTCATAAGTGGAAAAGGTATGTGTGGGAGGAACCACCGGCACCTAGACCATTCTATATTTAATAGTAAAGAATGTTCTTTACTCATTTGGATAACTAGAATGGGCAGATGGTATATGGGAGATAGAAGAGGTAATCAGTGTTTCTTCTAAACTTCTAAATTCATAGCTTTTAAACTCCAACTCACTTTTGCAGTCTAACTGCCCTCTGGATGTATTCAGTCTCATGCATTTAGGGTTTCATTCATTTGATACCTTGGAGGAATCTAATATTCCTCAAAAGGAAATGTTTCAGACATTTCTCAAAAGAGGACATAGGAATGGCCAACAGGCACATGAAAAAAGTGCTCAGCAACACTAACCATCAGGGACATGCAACTTAAAACCACGATAAGATATCACACCTGTCAGACAGCTTTTATCAGAAAGATAACAAGTGTTGGAGACAATGTGGAGAAACGTGAATACT